TCTGCCAACTATGGCCATGAATGCTGCAATGGCCAGTATGACTGCTGGTATGAATTAGATTCTTGTCTCCCTTCTGCCTTGAGCGTTATCTTGAATTACAGTCTTATGCAAAAGTTTAGGCACCCCTTGATAAATAACAGATTTTGGTGATTTTTTATTTGAACAGATGTTAACACAGTTTCTCTTGGAAATGGAAAAAATGCACAATATTTTCTGCAAACAGTGATGCATAGTTACTTCTTATGCCATAAATTGAACAAAAATAAAAAATAAAAACATTATTATGGCATGGTGCAAAAGTTTGGGCACCCTAAGAGTTCCAGAGTCTCAAAGTCTCTCACAAGGTTTCAGACCTTAATCAGCTCATTAGATCTGATGCACAGCAACAGCTGTCATTGGTAAATGCCAATTTCAAAGCTGTACAAATACCTTGACTCTTCAAACCTTGTGCACACACTTGTGGACACCCAGCAACCATGGGTTCCTCTAAGCAGCTGTGTAAGACCCTGAAAATGAAAGTTATTGATGCCCACAATGCAGGAGAAGGCTACAAGAAGATAGCAAAGCGTTGTCAGCTTGCAGTTTCCACAGTAAGAAATGTAATTAAGAGATGGCAGATCAGGGGAACTGTGGAGGTCAAGATGAGATCTGGAAGACCAAGAAAACTCTCGGACAGAACTGCTCGTATGCTGGTCAGAAAGACAAATCAAAACCCCCATTTGACTGCAAAAAACCTGCAGGAAGATTTAGCAGACTCAGGAGTGGTGGTGCACCGTTCCACTGTGCAGCGATGCTTGCACAGACAAGGCCTTCATGGAAGAGTCAGCAGAAGAAAACCTTATCTGCGTCCCCATCATAAAATCCAACGTCTGAAGTATGCAACAGGACATCTACAGAAGCCCGATGCGTTTTGGAAACAAGTGCTGTGGACTGATGAAGTTAAAATAGAACTCTTTGGACACAATCAGCAAAGGCATGTTTGGAGAAAAAAAGGAGCAGCATTTCATGAAAAGAACACCTTGCCAACTATTAAGCATGGGGGTGGATCTATCATGCTCTGGGGTTGTGTTGCAGCCAGTGGCACAGGAAACATTGCACGGGTGGAGGGAAGAATGGATTCCACTAAATACCAGCAAATTCTGGAAGCAAACATCACACCATCTGTAAAAAAGCTGAAGCTGAAAAGAGGATGGCTTCTACAACAGGACAATGATCCTAAACATACCTCGAAATCCACTATGGAATACCTCAAGAGACGCAGGCTGAAGGTTTTGGAATGGCCATCACAGTCCCCTGATTTAAACATCATTGAAAATTTGTGGGTAGATCTTAAAAGAGCTGTGCATGCAAGACGACCAAAGAATATTACAGAACTAGAAGCCTTTTGCAAGGAAGAATGGGAGAAGATCCCAAGTACAAGAATTGAAAGACTTTTAGCTGGCTATGAAAAGCGTTTGCAAGCTGTGATATCTGCCAGAGGAGGTGTTACTAAGTACTGATTGTGTAGGGTGCCCAAACTTTTGCACCATGCCATAATAATGTTTTTATTTTTTATTTTTGTTCAATTTATGGCATAAGAAGTAACTATGCATCACTGTTTGCAGAAAATATTGTGCATTTTTTCCATTTCCAAGAGAAACTGTGTTAACATCTGTTCAAATAAAAAATCACCAAGATCTGTTATTTATCAAGGGGTGCCTAAACGTTTGCATAAGACTGTACTGATTCATCTAGACCTGATTTCATGAGGATTTATTTAACTTTATTGAATTTTTTGAGATTATACTGTTTGTTTGTTGAAACTGTTTTAGAGATGTGTTGATTCAACTTCAGAATCAGCTTTATTGGCCAGGAGTGTTGGACACACAAGGAATTTGACTCTGGTACAGTGTGTATGTGTAGTGTTTTTCCGTAAGGCAAGAAGTAGACAAGTTAACAGGATAAGACTGAGGGAACAAAAAAAAGAATGTGCAAACAAGAAAAAGTCATGGGTTAAGTGTTCATCAGAGTGATGGCCATGCGGAAAAAAACTGTCCTTGTGTCTGGTTGTTTTGGCATACAGTGATCTGTAGCGCCGTTCGGAGGGGAGGAGTTCAACCAGTTTGTGTCCAAGGTGGGAGGGGTCTGCATAAATCTTCTCTGCCCTCCTCTTGACTGTGAGGTATACAGGTCCTCCATGGAGGCCAGGCTGGCACCGACGACCCTTTCTGCAGTCCTGACTGTCCGCTGGAGACTGTTCCTGTCCTGTTTGGTTGCTGAGCCAAACCAGACAGTGATGGAAGAGCAGACAACAGACTTACTGGTTGATTGAACTAGCTAGTGGCCTTGAATTTTACTGACTTTTGTCCTGTTTTCTTTCTTTGTGTCTCTACAGCCACCATGACAGCTGCGTTGTCTAACATGGGCACTCTGTCTTCATTTCTCCCACTGCCCTCCATTACCAATAAGCCCCCTGCTCTTCCCGCACAGCCCAACACCACTGCTTTGGAGGAGCTGAAGAAGAAAGTAGCAAAGCAGGCCAACAGCATCAGCATTAAGGAGTTTACTGATGTAAGGGTACACAGCTTGTATTAGACATGTTAACCATGTATAATTTGTCAGCATTTCATTACACATAAAAAAAAAATTATTCGAGTGACTCTGTTATTGTGTTAAATGTAAACATGATTATAAATCTCATCTGTAACTAACATCCTAATAAAAAACCTAGGTCTGCCCCCTAATTGTTAAATAGGCGAGTCAGTAGTTGAGAGTCCTGTCAGTCTACTGAGACTGTGACACTGTCTGATGCATGAATGTACATTAAGGTCGGATCTGTTTAGAAAATTGCGGAACAAGGAAAAAATCACAACAAAACCCACTGGGACAAGCCACATAAAGAGGAGAGTTGTACTTTATGTGGTCTACTTTTACAGGAGAAAAGACTGTCAGAACAATGTGACTGGTTTTCCATAATGTCCAGTTTGTTTACCCCTCTCTGATCAAGTTCAGCGCACAGGCATGTAATGACTGTTTCTGCGACATGTATCCATTTGAATGGGACTAGAAAGCTAACAAAAATGCGAGGGGGAAACATTTCACTGAGGAATTATAAATAAGAGGAGTTGTTGGCAGTGCGAACTGGCACACATTAAACGCACAGTAACAACATGCATTGTGGTTAAATGATGAGAGAAGCTTAAACTTGTTGGTAAACTAGGCTATATCCATGTCTCAGAAATAAAAACTGCCTAAAGAGTATTGTTTCAACAGAAATACTTGTGTGTTGCCTGCCTTGTTATGATAAATCCATATGGCAGCCTGACTTTATATGCCGACAATTTAAATAGGCCACAATTTAAATACTGCATCATATGCAGCTGTCTTTTATTGTTTTTTTTTATGCTCAGAAATATGTTCATGTCACTCTTTTGCATTTAAATACTGATGTTATTGTGGTCACAATCATTACTGAAATTCATGCCAGTTGATTTTCTTACAGTCTATGCTATTCATATAAATATTTTAAAAAGAAAGAAAGAGAATGAATAGTCGAATATTCACACTGAAGAGCCAATTGACAATAATGCATTGGAATCCTCTGAAGCTTATTGATACTGATTCTAATGGTGCTTATCAATTCCAGTTCTTATCGCTTCCCTGTTTTTAATCCAAAATGGTGAAAATAGAAAAATAAATAAATAAAATAAAAATGTTATAGGCAGTACCTGAGACAGAGGCAATGTTTAAACTTTTTGTCTTTAGAAAATTTGGTGTTTAAATTAACCAAGCAACACGTAATGCCATTACCGCCCTGTGACACTTCTCAGCTGCCCCTGCTTCTACTGGAGGTGCAAGCAAGGTGCTGCTAGCGTTGGTTGATGACACACTCAGGCTTGGATTCCACAAGACACCGAACACTGTACAGTCTTTCAGATCAGCATCATGCTGCCTTAAATGCTGCTGTTGTTTTTTTTGTCCCATAGACAAGTTCTGGCAAGTAGCTATGTATGTCCTTGCAGATAATACTCAGCCTTTTTTGCAAGGGTTCACGTTTAGGAACTATAGATGACGATTAGGGTCACTGTAAAAAAAATGTATTCGAGTTGTGACTTTTGTCTCAGAATTCTGACCTTAAAATCAGAATTTCTGAGAAAAAAAGTGAGAACTTGGATTTTTTACAGTGGCGCTAATCCTCTTCCATAATGAGCATTTTGGATTCAGTTTTAATTTGAAACAGAGTTTTAATCCCCAACCCTAATAATTTACCAAATTGTGATATGGTAAAACGATATTGTTGGAAGACTACTTAATTTGCTGTGTGTATATGCTTGCAGAAATGCAAGATGATTGTGGACAGTAAAGGAGAACTACCAGTGGCAGTGCCTCATGTATCAGATGAAGAGGATGATGGGAAACCCTTTGGAGGATCAGCATTTCAAGAGCAAAAAGCCATCAGTTTCAACATCAATGTAACATCCACACATGGGCTATATGTACACTTGTATTATATGAATTTACCCATTGCAATGAATGACAGTTTCCTGTTAGTCTGACATTACCTCCTAATTACTGACAAAATGTAATCCTTAGAATATAAATACTCATTGTGACAGGATAGTCTGCAGTTATCCCCATTTTAGTATGTTTTTACAGATATATTGTGCTGTATTACTGCTTGAAATCTGATGCGCGTACATTAGATACTAAGAGAAACAAGGGATGCTGTAATCACATAGTGACCAATTTTTTGTAGTTATGTTTAAAGTGCCCATGGCATGCTCATTTTGCTTGTTTCCAGCCATTTAATGTTTAATCTTGGGTACCTCTAGATTAGCTTGGCACCCCACATAACTCCAAATAGTTTGTAACTGTTTCAGAATCAGAGAGCCAGAAAGCCTCTTCCTTTAAAGGAGAGGACAGTTCGTGAATGCGTACAGTTCTATTTGCCAGTGTCGTGTCACAAGTGGACAGCACAGCAAACTGTGACGGCATTAATTAATTTGAATTTCTCCTCCACAGATAGGTAAACAACAGTATATGTACAGATGAAAAGATATCTGTAACACTACAAAGTGGGTAATTGAGAAGCCCCATATTTTAACTGGCATAATGCAGACATAGTAACTTCTCCAGCCTTACAACAATTCCTTCTAACATTACAGAAACAATGCATTAAGAGACAGAATAACATTATGGGTTGTTAATCTGCTCGTTAACCAGCAACACATCACATACAGCAGACACACTGGCCTCAAGCAGTCAAAACGAACTGGTACTGTGCTCTGGGGGAATCCAGCATTGATGAGCTGATCACTAACCACTGCTGAGGTCTTCACTGCCCTGCTGCTTGTAGGTTAGACCCAATCAGGTCAGCGAGTCCCCTGTACAGGAACATTCCCAGACATGTAGTAGCCTCAGGCTCTGTGTTAATCTCCACACCCTCTGGTCACAGTACAGCAGGAGGAGGTAAAATATATGCACAAAACCAGGCGCAGTTGAAAAAAATTCCGCTTTTACAATGGCACTGGTGGATGTCTTTTTTTTTTTTTTTTTAACATAGGCTTTATTGAAAATGCACATAACAAACCAGGCAATATAACATTTTGCTAGTATGGTGGAGGCACTGGTGGATGTCAGGCAAGCTCACATGAACGCACAAGAGGCTGGATCTAATGCCCATTCAAGGAATTTCTTAAACTATCACGTAATGCTTAATTTTGTTAGAAAAATAGTATCACTTGCGAGAGTTTGCGAGACTTGTATAAACTGAGTTGCTTCTGCATAGAAATACTAGAACATATGAACACCTCATATTTTGAGCTTTAGGTCACGTCTAAGATGAAAATTCATCGTTGTAACATTGTAGATAAGTCAAAAAACAAGGAAAAGCATGCCATGGGCCCTTTAAAGGCATGATTATAATGGCAGCACAACAACTACCCTACATGGTATTTTGGTGCTGTGGGCAGACATCACTGATCTTTTGCCACTTTGGTGAGTTTATCAACAAAAGCAAAATAATTACTTCAAGCAAATGTGCAGAAATTCCCTCTGCAGCAGGACAAATTTGTTGACAGGTTGGCAGCCTCTATTTTTTTAAATGTGCCATTACATATGTGGTGATCATCCACTTTGTTTACCCTGATTAAATTACATGCAAATAATGCCAGACTGTTACACAGTAACACACACACACTTCTACACATCTTGATATTCTTTTAGTTATGTGGGGTTATAGTGTCTCACCAATCCTTTATGCCATCGTTTCCATTCCAGTTTAAGAAAATCAGCTGTTTATGTTTTATTACTGTGTCATTGTGCTTGCTGACTAAAATATGACCCATAATCACGTTACAGTTATCAGTGATAATTTATAATTTCCTGCAGTGTAATACAGACACCATGATTTATTGTCTCTGTTGAATATTATTTGTATGTGGCTCATTAGAGCAAAATAAAAATGATTAACACTGTTTCCTTTCCTACCTTCCAGAACACAACTCTTCGTCCAGTGGTGCGTAGCGATGCAGGAATGGCAAAGGAGTTTCCTGTGTCTTCAGGATCCCAACATCGTAAAAAGGTCCAAATAAATGTGTATTAGGTCTGAATCTTGTAACATTATTTAAAAGTTTAGTTTTAAACTCTAGATACTTCACAATGGAAAAAGTTGAAGAGAGATGTTTCAGTAATTTAGCCTAGCTTTGCTGATATTAATGGGCTGGACAAAATAATAGAGACACCTGTCAGTATAATGCAGTACAGTTCAGTTCATACACGTGTCCATTCAGATGTGTGTTTTTCAGTTACCCTTTAAAACAATGTTTCATCAACCTAAACTTTATTTTGTGGTATTCACCAGGGCTCTATCTTGAGTCTGATTCTGTTAGCTTTGTACATGCTTGCTCTTGGGCAGATAAGTCAATGCACTGCTGCTATTGAGACAATATATACACATATATTCCTGTGCTGGCAGGATTAGTGCCTCTGTGCTGTCTTTCAGTCCAGCTTTGTCCAGCCACTGGTAGGATTTTTCGATATCGGCCACTTCTTCTACCTGATGGTGGTACATACTGTGCAGGGGTTTGTCCTTCCATGAGGGTTCCTGCTCTTCCTGCCCTTGTTCCTGTGGTTTCTGCTGCCTGAGGGTCATGATATCCACACTGTGACCTCTGACCCTTCAGCACGTGTTCAATGTTCCTGTGACAGTGAAACCACTGCTGTGAGCCAGCTCATAAATCAGTGAGGAAGGAACAAAGATTGGGGGGGCTGAACTTTGACACCCAGCTTGTTCCTAAGGATGCCGGGTATGGAAATACCCACACACCCAGCAGAATCTCACAGCAACTGCTCAGACGTGTGAATACTTGTGTGCATGTTCACAGGCAACTGCAGTGAGTGAACGCCTGTTAACGTGAAAAGCTCCACCTGTTAGACGCTCAGCAGCCACTTCCTGTCCAGCTGTGGACCGTATTTCAAGATGTTGAGGGCTTCCCTCAGGGTAAGAGTCAGTGCTTAGGCTTCGACTGTTTCAACAGCATGTAAATGACCATATTAGATATTCACACTGCACAGGAAGAGTTTTCGCTTGTTGCATGAAGAGAAGGATTGGGATTTGCAGACGATATAATGGTCACTGGTCTCATCCATGACAGCTACGAGCTGCTGTACAGACAGGAAGTCAGAAAGCTGGCCCTGTGATCCAGACGTAGTGACCTGGAACTGAACATACTCAAACTGGTGGAGATGGCAGTGGACTTCAGGAGCCCCCTCCATGGAGGACCTGTACACCTCACAGGCCAAAAGAAGGGCAGAGAAGATATCTGCAGACCCCTCACACCCTGGACACAAACTGTTTGAGCTCCTCCCCTCTGAATGGCGCTACAGGTCACATTATTTTACAAATAAAAATCTGAAAAGTGTGGCGTGCATATGTATTCAGCCCCCTTGAGTCAGTACTTTGTCGAAGCACCTTTCGCAGCAATTACAGCTGCAAGTCTTTTTGGGTATGTCTCTACCAGCTTTGCACATCTAGAGACTACAATTTTTGCCCATTCTTCTTTGCAAAGTAGCTCCAGTTCAGTCAGATTGGATGGAGAGTGTCTGTGAACAGCAATTTTCAAGTCTTGCCACAGATTCTCAATAGGATTTAGGTCTGGACTTTGACTGGGCCATTCTAACACATGAATATGCCTTGATCTAAACCAGTCCATTGTAGCTCTAGCTGTATGTTTAGGGTCGTTGTCCTGCTGGAAGGTGAACCTCTGCCCCAGTCCCAAGTCTTTTGCAGCATCTAACAGGTTTTCTTCCAGGATTGCCCTGTATTTAGCTCCATCCATCTTTCCATCAACTCTGACCAGCTTCCCTGTCCCTGCTGAAGAAAAGCATCCCCACAGCATGATGCTGCCACCACCATGTTTCATGGTGGGGATGGTGTGTTCAGGTTTCTGCCACACATAGTGTTTTGCATGTAGACCAAAATGTTTGATTTTGGTCTCATCTGATCAGAGCACCTTCTTCCACATGTTTGCTGTGTCCTCTACATGGCTTGTGGCAAACTGCAAATGGGACTTTTTGTTGATTTCTTTCAACAATGGCTTTCTTCTTGCCATTCTTCCATAAAAGCCAGATTTGTGGAGTACACGACTAAGCTGTCCTGTGGACAGATTGTCCCACCTGAGCTGAGGATCTCTGCAGCTCCTCCAGAGTTACCATGGGCCTCTTGGTTGCTTCTCTGATTAATGCTACCCTTGTCCAGCCCGTCAGTTTAGGTGGACGGCCATGTCTTGGTAGGTTTGCAGTTGTGCCATATGCTTTCCATTTTTGGATGATGGATTGAACAGTGCTCCGTAAGATGTTCAAAACTTGGAATATGTTTTTAGAACCTAATCCTGCTTTAAACTTCTCCACAACTTTATCCCTGATCTGTCTGGTGTGTTCCTTAGTCTTCATGATGCTGTTTGTTCACTAATGTTCTCTAACAAACCTCTGAGGCCATCACAGAACAGTTGTATTTATAGTGAGATTGAATTACACACTGATGGGCTCTATTTACTAACTTATGTGACCTCTGAAGGCAGTTGGTTGCACTGGATTTTATTTAGGGATATGAGAGTAAAGGGTCTTGTGCAGCCTCCCGCACAAAATCTAGTAATCATCACAATGGCAAACATTCAAGAGAGGGTCTCAAGTATCAAGAGCTGGACAGCACCAGGCCCTGACATGATCCACGCCTACTGGTTAAAGAAGCTAACTTCACTCCATGAGCACCTGGCGGGACAAATAAACCAGCTGGTAATGGATGGAACCCACACTGAGTGGTTAACTGAAGGCTGGACAGTCCTCATCCTGAAGGACCCTCAGAAGGGAGCAGTACCATCCAACTACCGCCCAATAACCTGTCTCTGCACAACATGGAAGCACCTGTCAGGAATCATAGCAGCTAAGATGAGCAGGCACATGGCTCAATACATGAGCAGCGCTCAGAAAGGAATTGGTAGTAATACCAGAGGAGCAAAGCACTAGCTACTGGTTGATAAAGTAGTTACTTGAGACTGCAAGACCAGGCATACCAACCTGTGCACTGCATGGATTGACTACAAGAAAGCCTATGACTCAGTGCGCACATGGATCCTGGAATGCT